GTCTCGAGTACTGCAACACTGGACAGGAGCATAATAGGACCGGGTCAAACAGAGCCGGGCTGGGCCAGGCCCGGACCCTGCAGTGCAAAAAGGGCTTAAGAAAGCACTCCGTTGTGCAAACCTAGGATGGCTGACTAAGTGGCCACTTTCTCCCCCTCTCACTCGGTCTCTCTGGACTAGCAGCTAGTTTAAAGAGGGTATCGTCAGCGTGAAATGCTTTGACCCTTTTCCATCTTTAATCCAGGAACTTCAGTCCCGGCTCCTCCGACGACAAGCAAGAAAATGCTCTTCCAGCCAAGGAAGGCCTCACGGGCGCGCGGCTGCAGAGGAGGCTCACAGCACCAAACAGGTACGCGCTTGTTAACACGATTTTTTGTCGTGTAAAAACATGTCCTTTTTTGTTTTTTTAACGTCACGTTTTATCTGTTTCAGTCATCGGTTACAGAAGCGAACCTGCAACTCGTCTACCTGTTTCACCCAAAAGTTAGGAGAGATGCTGATGAATAATGTACGTGGTACCCCAAAAACCCCCATGAACGTGGGCCCAAAGAGCTTCGGCAAGAGGGACATTTAGCCTCCCGGCTACCTGCCTTTCTAGTACAAACTGGGAGAATACCCCAGTGACCTAATGATCATGTGTAACGGTGAACGAATGAATGACGACTCTGGTTGATAAATCACATCATAAGATGATTTTTTAAAAATCATTTTATAAGCTTCAAGACTACAGTGCCTTTGATCTAAGCCATCTGAATCCCCACATGTTTTCTTCCAGCTTCGTGAATCTCGTAAATCACAGCACTAATGAAATGAAGAAAAATTTTGCTTCTCACAAAAAAATTCTTGCAGATTTCTGTTTCAGCACAATATGCCAATTAAATCAATAAAAGTATTTCTTCCTCAACAGGTTGGGGTAGAAAACACAGTGAGCATTTTGTGTCCCTTGCTCCTTATTTAAGACTGCTTCTGAATCTGTCTGTCAGTCACAGGGAATGAATGAGCTATTTAATCGTGTTTGTTAAATGTTGCCACAGGTAACCCTAAAGTAATGCTTTGTTTGCTGTGACACCCTATTGCTCACCTATGATATGTAATCACTAAACTTAGCCTGGAAACACACAAGCTTTGAATATTTACAATCCTTCAGGTTTGCTCTATTTCGTCAATTTACACAACAACCATGGGTGTCCAAATCCAGTCCTGGAGAGCCAGAAAATGGCAGAAAATGGCAAAGGATGTCAACAGGACGATTGTTTGGTCGGCATTCAACAAATGTGACCTTTATGGAGGACTGATCAGAAGAAAGTCACTGTAGAAAGAAAACCAGAAGAAACCATGAGCCATTTTAGATCCCATCCACATGAGGATGTTTTTTATTATTTTATAAAATGGGTCGTCGGTTTTAAAAATACCCACATCTCCAGCTGAGAACGTTTCTAGAAATGTTTCGAGCCACACGGAAACGCCAAAAACAGAACAAAACGCTTTTTTACTCTCCCAGACCTGTAGGTGGTGCTAAATATAGAGCATAGGACATGAACGTAAAGTCTTCACAAAAGATTAGTTTTGATTAACTTTATGCAGCTGCAGACACTTAAGGTGCTGCAGCACAACACACACAGTTGGGGTTATAGGTAAGGTTAGCGGTTTGGCTAATATGTCAGCGTTTTCACAACACATGTGAATATGTAACTGTAACATTTTCCCTCTGGAACTTGTGTCCTACCTTTTGTGAAGGTAGGACACAAATAGTTAAAAACGTTCCAGTGTGAACAAAGACAAATATGAAAGAAGGCGTTCTGGTCAGATGAGACCCAAATTGGGACTTTTGTGGAAAACCAACATTGCACATCACCCAACACCATGATGGTAACACTTTACCTGGTCTTTGCAAACCCATCCACATCCTCTTGAACTTTTTCACATAGTTTCACTTTACAACCATGAACCTCTGTGTATTTTATCTAGATTTTCTGCAATAGACACACACAAAGCAGTACATAACTTTAAAGGAAAGAACTTGATACCTAAGTGTATAAAAGTGTATCTTTGTCTCTCTTTAACCATAAAATGTACTTCAAGCTCAGTCTTTTCGCTGGAAGATGCCATCAATGAGCCGTTGCTTTGTGCCTTTGCACTTTTCTGTCTGCTCTGTCCTTTCTTTTTGTTCTGTCTTTAATATGTAGATATGGGTATTAAATATGATTCCGTGGGTACATTTCTTAATATTTGTTATGTTAGTAAGTGTACACTGTTTGGTATAGGTCATCTATTCTGGGTTCTACTTTAATTAATTTTACTTTCAGTGCCAGTAAGTCGTCATCTAGTGTTTACACAGTTACGCTATAAATCTGAACATGGTTACATCTGGTGAATGTAACATTTTATTTTCAACAGTTAACATAAAAAATGAATTTAACTAAATAAAAAAACAAAAATACAAGGCATTCAATTACACAATAAAGAGTCCTGTAAATTGTTTATGCCCACTTTTCCTCACCTCACTTCATGTCTAAAGCAAGGGTGTAACTTTGCGTTCCAAGTTGGTGGAGATGAGGAGGAGCCAGGGGGTCGCTGAGGCACCCACAGTTACTGGAAGGCCTTTTCTTTTTCTTTGGAGCTAAGAATAATGCCAAAACTTAAACGTGAATGCCTTTCAGTCTTATTCAAAAAATTAGGATATACGTCCTGATCAGGCTTGTCAGATTAATATTACCTTTCAAAAATAACCTCTTAGCAGGTATTAAACATATTACTTCATATAAATATGTTAAAACAAAAGTAATCTAATTAATCTATATAATGTATTTCACTTGGTGATGGAATTAGTAACAAAGTGACTTTTCAGTCATGCTCTTAATTTATGGAATATTTGCTGAATGCTTGCCTACAGTTAAAAAGCAGCTTCACAATTCAGTAATATTT